CTTGAAATTAGGAGATCTAACTAAAGTTAGTCGATACACCGATTACCATTTAAAGCGTACTACTGCGCCAGTTTACGAAAACAAATCCAGATCTCTACCGCAGCAGGCATACATGATAAATTTGTTTATAATCATAAACTCCTAAACTACACAGGACACAATACAATGATTAATGACTCAAGCATGTAACAAGTGTAACGTTGTGTTGAAACTGAATTGCATGTTAGCTAAACCTCTTCCCTGAGCAGTGAATGTCTGACCTACGGTGAGAGGATGTCCCACATTGTCCTGGATTCAAGCTGGGTGTCCCGAGTCCCCAACAAATAACTGTAAAACACTCAAACGTCCCGGTTTTCAACATTCACTACCAGTTTGTCCCAGTTTTCACCACAATTAAAATAATAATTCTAATATTATACTTGTTTTGCACTTACTTAAGACATTTATCATGTTCTGTCCCACTCATTATTACCTAACCCAATATAAAAACATAAAACGATGCACCATGCGTCTGAATTCAACATATTCTGGTCAGTATGTGTGTCGTTGTCAAGGCTGTTGCTAACCTATCAGTCATAGGCAAGGGTCATAGGCTATGACAGTGGTGGCTCTTCCTGACAGAACCTGTCATTGTGCTAACTGTTAGCTGTCATTCCGAAGTCGTCTTTTCGGGAAGAGCTCCCAGAGGCTTACTCCTTCCTTTGTAAGAAACCCGGCAACGAAAATGCTGCGTTCATGGCATCCATAGTGTTATGTGCCCATGGTATAAAAGTGCCATGTGGTGTGTTTTTCCAGCCCAGTTTTAGATGAAACCACGCCCACTTCTGTATGACAAAAGCCTCGACAGAAGTTGGTGTGTTTTAATCTAAACTAGGTTGGAAAAAAAATAGTGTCCTGGTTTGGGAGTTTGAAAATATGGTCACTCTTTTTCTAATCATACCTTAGAAAACTAGTCTGTCAAGCTTTAGAGAGTCATTCTTTTCATCTTTCGAGTTTGTGAAAAAAAATGTAAAGAAAAGTGTGTTTGCTCTTAGTAAAGTTGTTAATGTTGGCATGCCTTGCTAACTAGCTTATGATTTAAAGCGTTAAGATAGTGGTATTTCCAAGCACAGTGGCGAGTGCAGAGGATGGATGATAGTATAGCACAGTTTGAACTAACGTTAGTGGCTTCGTCATGCAATTTCCAACTTTGCCTGTAAAAGCAAAACATGTTCAAATATACAAAAGCATAAAGAAAACCTAGCTAGCTAGCTGATATAATCTAACATCTATAATTTCAGCTATCAAAAGTGACACTAACTAGCTAAAAATGAAGCCTGCTAGCATACTTCTGTCTGAAATCAAGGGATCATTGTTTCCAAAGTGTCTTTTGAAGTGGCATCTGCGACTGTCATCACTGTAAACAAACATGAAGTCCTAGAATTCAAAGTCTAACAGGCGTAACAAAAGAGGATGAAATTAAAAATGTGTGTCTATCTACCACGGTATGCTGTATCATTACTTATATTTTTTCCGTAGTAGTTTGTTCTACGCTGAACATTACATCTGAGAAGATTTTATTCATTGGTGTTTGATTTTGTATCAGAGAGTGTTGCAGTCATTTAAATAGCAGGTCAAACACGTCTGACCATGAGGATAATATTGCATTTGTCCCTTTATCCCCTTTGCGGTACTAATGTGGCAGCTCAGCTTAATTAATTATCACCATGCTGGACAATGTGTATGTGGTTGTACTTCTAAAGGGAGAGAGGGTAATGTGGAAAATATGCAGAAAATGTATTTGGGTTGACCGTCTGGCTATTAATAATGATTGTGTTTGGATAAATAGTGCCCTACTTTCAGAATCCGTGGATCTAAATATTCCCAATAGGCTGCCTCCCTCTTGTATTGATTGATTGGTTTAGTGTTTAAAGGTCATAGTCATAAAACATCAGGTTGTAATTAACACACTGGGATTTTTAACCAGTGGTTAATGTATGGAGTGTTGACTTTTATAGCTTGCTTCTCAATGCAGTGTTTGGATTACCACGTGTTATTTGAATTTAAGATTAGGTTCAGAGCAAAGGTAACTTCTGACAAGACAGTGTTCCCTCACCAAACAGGGTCAGGTAAGTCTGCCAGGCCTGTGATACATATCCTCATATAGTGTGTATTTAATCCTGGTTTCCTAGGAATAGATGGACCATTGTGTCTCCGTTTTCCAAACCACTCGCCTCCAAAATACTAAAAACCTGCTTACATTCCATGCAGAGTCACGTGGAGACAAGACAGATGTGATGGTCTGTCTCCTTATGGTTACTTCACTCAGCTTCTTCGCAGATAATTAATTTGGCTGGGGGAATACAATAAACATTTTGAGCTGCTTTTAACCTGATTCAAACTGTCTTGACCTTGAAATGACTAAAAGCCGAGATCCCACTGATGGATGTGACGCTAAGTGCTTCATTTAAATGTGCCTTTTCAGGGTTGTCACCAAATTGTGTTCAATTGCTTTCAGTCATCAAAAACCTTAAAGACTGACCAGCACATTTAGTCCCAATTTTCAAAGCTTGTGTTGTCAGGTTCCACTCCCTAAATTTCAAAAGAAGGCATTCATTGTGTGGCAACACATTCGCTCTGTTATTACCTTGGGAGTTGAGTCTATTCATATTTCCTCTAAGATTGAAAACACGTGTTTTGGTTTGAGAGGACATTTATCTGAATATCTGGGCTTTCTTTGGCAAAAAGGATGGAATAAACTCACAATTTGTCTCTCTGTGTGCACCAGAAAAAACTCAGAAGAAACTAGTTTTTGTTATGAAGCCAAATGCAAAAAAGATTCATAAATTCAACATTAATTTTTAATTTATATACGATTCATTTAATAATCATTTGATAGAAATTGAATTTCAGATGTAATAATTTCTGAATTATTAGCTGCCATGTTTCAAATGAAATGAAATAGAGATATTTAATATAATGACCTGACTGTGATCTACAGTCGTAGATGGTCAAGAGTAATGTTAAACATCAACCAGCAATTTAAAATGTTTCATGATTCATTTAAAAATTACCACTTTTACTGACTTGCATGGCTCCAATGGCTCAAACCAATTGATCCAGTAGGATAGGATGCGTGACATTAACACCAGATTTACAAATTAGTTGGCTGTAATGTTTATCTGATAATTCTTGGTGTCCTATTCATAAAGATAATTTGTAATCAAAAAAACACAAAAAGGTTGTTTTTTTATCTGGCTGCACCACCGCTCCACCTTGAGAAGGAAAAATCAACACAAAAGAACCCGATATGAATTGGAAACCACAAACTCAGTAATTTAATCAGAGCGACTAAAATCAAAGGAGGCAAAAGTTCAGGATCTGAATGCAATGAAATGGACCAGTTCCTTAGAACCTACTGACATAGCTCACTTGTGGAGGAGCAAGCCCAGACAGAAAGGGCTGAGTAATGAAGATGGATGCATTCTGTTATCAGGCAGCCACTTACTGGGGCCTGATGTAACCTTAAACACTGAGGATAGCTCAGTTGCACAAAGAAGCTAATTAATGAATAGCAGCCATGAAAGAGGACAAGGCAAGTGTGCATTTGCAGATGAATTCCAGACACTAATCAAACACTGTTCAAGTGGTTTGGTTTGTCTCCAGAGCAAGGCGATATTTGGCGAGGATTTAAGGCAGTGTTTGCATGCTGGCTTGATGACTGCATGCATGCTTCAGTGTTTTTATGTATGGGTATAGGCCTGTGTGTGTATTTATATGTTATGTGTGTATATATATATTGTGTGGTGTGTGTGTTTATATGGGGGGGGGTTTTGTACAGTTTTTGTTTTAGTATGATTCAAAAAGGTCTGGCATTGTGCTAATTAACAACTATTTCAGCCAGTTGACGATACAGTCGGCCAATGAGAGATTTGTAAGTGGGATTAAACAATGGTCATCTTCCTGATTACTAGGTACCTAGAGCTTCATCCATAAAAAACTAACATCAGAAAATAACTGCCACAAGCCTGGACACTACCTGCTCAGCACCAAACAGCAGAGAGACACAGTTAGCGACGAGCTGGTGGACATTTAGCAGCAGGTATTTCCTTTAGGAATTGGTAGAGACCAAAAACAACAAAAACAAAAACAAAACAGTCGCCAAATCAACTTAACAAGTGATGATGTCAGTGTGGTGTTACTATCTTGTTTCCCAACCCAGGTTTAAATGAACCACTTCTAGCAACTGCTCCTGCTGCTGAAAACGCTGTCAGCAGGGCAGATGTGTCACGGTGCCGATTGTTTGGTGTAAAACAAAAACCCTCTCAGAAAGACCTTCAGCTCAGGTTTCAGACTGACTTCAGATTACTTTGTAAAATGAATGTCGTGTGTCTTTTATTAACTCATGACCTTCATGATGAAAGGTAAACTAATTGCTCTGATAACTTTTCAGAGTTGTAAAATCCTGTGTCGGGGAATGACAAACTGTCAATATTTCGGACTCTGATGTTACCCGAACTAGACTTCCTAGCTTTTGGTCTAAACGCCTGCTGAGAGTCTATGATCATGTTGTACTTATGTGTTTTGAGCTGAATGCTAATGTCATCAGGCTAACATGCTCACAATGACAGTTTTAACATGTTGATGTTTTGCCAATATAATGATTGCCATGGTTACCATCTACGTTTAAGAAATTAGAATGCTAACGCGTGCTAATTTAAATTCATTCTTAAATTAATTTAATGTAAAGTTTTTGGTCATAAACCAAAGTTTGGAGAAAGTGAAATGTTGACTTGGTGATGGCGCTGGATGAACAGTCTGGGGATCGACTCAATGACCAACATTGTCTTTCCTAGAACCACAATGCTAACGTAGCTTCAACCTCCCATTGTGTTCCTGGCTTTACATCCTTGTTTATGCATCTTAAACTAGAACCATGTTGTGTGTGGCTGAACAGTACGACCGTGTTACACCATGAGTGCTCACGCTTGCTTATCGTCTCTGTCTCTGTCGTTATCCAGTACCAGCTCCAGTGGAGTTCTCCATGGAGGTCGGTGAGCTTCCAGTGGCAGACGTGGCTTGTGCTGATCACTGTGTTTGTTTTGCTGGGTCTGGTGCCTTACGTCGTTCACTGCATGATGACCGCGTTCACCAGCCCTCCTCCTCCCAGCACCTTTAAAGTGGCGGCGGCCTCCTTTGGTCTGCTAACAGAGATCCTGCTGATCAAGTGAGTGTTTACATTTTTAACTCTGTATTTCTTAAGCTTCATATATTTACTTGTTAGAATTGAAGTACCCTTGGTCTGATCATTGTATAACACGCCAAACACAGTCTGAATAACAGTGATTAAAATTATGATTGTATTCCGGGCCTAGGCGTGTTTTCATCTGCCAAATGCAAACAGTATTTTCCAGTAATATTTCATCTTTATGTGAGTTTCAAAACAAGAAGCGGTGAGCATCCGTGTCACCCAAATAATCATCTCTGAAAACATTCTGTTGTCCAACCCCCAACACCCCCCCTCACCCCCACCCCTCTTGTTTTCACTTAGTCTTCTTTCCCATTTTGATATTGCTAATTGGAACAATGCCTGCGGTTCTGTAAACCATTAGTAAATGAACAGTCTGTTTTTATTAACATCTAACTTGTAAATAATGAATTAGATTGCTGGCATGGACAATATCTACTCTGTGATTAGAAAGCAACATGTGACGAATACTGTAATCAGATTACAAATACAGATTACGTAATCTGTAATTGCCTAACTCATTCAAACTGCACATTACAGAAAAATACTCACCGGATTACCAACAATTATGTTTGAAAAAAGATAATGATGGTCACAACAACATTTTTGAAAATAAAACCACACTCTTAATTTGATTTTAGTTTCGGACCTTTGTCACTCAGTCAATCAGATGAATGCTGGGATGCAGAAGCTCCTCTGCTTTATAAAATTCATTGTAAAATATGATGGTAGTAGTAGAGGTGAAGTAGAAGCAACCCTCCGACCCTTAACTCCGCTTCAGGCCATAGCAAAAGTATCCCTCCATCCTCCAGTATTTGTCTTAACTAAAATAAGAGGCTGTTTGTAATTAACTCAACAAGGCTCGTAACATTTTTCCCCCCCTTTAACTGCTTTTGCGAGGAATGTGGCCAGTGAACTGGTAATTAATAAATATGGTTGCACTGGTAATGTGCTTCTGCATCATTATGCTGTTGAAGCCCTTATCCACCCTAACAACGAGCTGTAATTTTATGACAGGAAATTGGTTTGTTTACAACACGTTCAGCAGCTTCAGACGAGCTCCATTCTTGGCTGATCTCAGCTGCAGGTATTTGCTCATTGTTTGAGCTGAAAGAGGTTCAACTATGTTGTCATGCTAACACTTACACTGCTAAAATACAGACACTTTGTTAATGTCTATGAATCATTCACAATAATAAACAATAAACAGAAATATTAATGAATTATTCGTACATACTTGTGTTGTTTTGAAGCCTAACTCAGCCGAACTTTGAGGGTATCTGACTGCACTGAACAGGTTTGCTGTCAGCTGATGCTTACATTATTACTGGTACAGTGGGAAGGTTGGTGGGTGCCCTTATTAGGATCGGTGGGCCTCACAGACTCATGCCCCATGGTGCCTGTGCTGCCTGGGATGTGCCAGCCTCCTGCTGCCCCCTGTCAGGGTGCATCTTAGTCACTCCTCAGCCCCAGGGGGGAAGTCCTTGTAAGACGCAACCCCCCTCATCTCTCACCCACCGCACACACCCTGTTCATCTCTGAAACAGGGCTTTAAGACAAAGATAAACAAGTAAACAGTTGGGGCTGACCTTATTTATTGGGTTGGACCTGTGCTGTGTACTCATGATCATTTACGCTGTCTCTTGATGAAATGGTAACATGCAGTAATGCCTGTCTAATGGAAAGGGGGGGTTAAAACATTTTGCTACCCTCTCAGTGATTGAGCCTCTGTGTCTCTGTTACCTGTTGTAAGTTACCATGGCTACATCACCTCAGAGACAGGTTTGGTTTGCTGTAAAGCAATTAAACACTGTAGACGGATATTTTTGTCACCAAAATTAGTGATTGCAGGACAGGTCTGAATAAATTGAATGTAATATTGTGGTTGCAAAAGTGTATTTCCAACATAATGAGAATGTATGGTCATTTTGTGAACCAGTGCAATGCTTTTTACCTCTTCTGTTTATTTTAATCCGAACATCGATTTTATACGTTTAAATCACAGGTGTTACAGGTGCTGTGATGGCGACCACAGCATTAGTGAAAAAAGTTGTAGAAAATGTGTTTTTGTCTTCAGAAGGAGCTCCGCAAAAGCTGATAAATTGCCTCAAGTGATGTCACTTGAGTCAGTGTCGGTTGCGGCTGAGGGAGGCCTCTGTTGCCTCCTCATCTTTGCTGGAGTCTAGAGGCTCCATGCTACATTAGCCGCTACTAGCATAACACACCCAAATCCCGGACTGTCAGCGATCAAATTGTATTGTGGGTAATGCAGTCTTCACGTTTGGACAAGAAAGTGTAGAATAAAAAAGACAATATTCCTGCAGCATTCAGTTTGATTAGATTTTTTTTTCTATATAGTTAGTCTGACAGTGTTACAGGGGAGCAATGCTAAAGAAGAGGAGTGATCTTTTAAAAGGATAAGGTCACAAGTATTCTATAATGTCAAATCTTATTTAAAGACCAAAACCAACTCTGGATTGATCTTACTAATAGAGCTCCAGTTCAAAATCTTTTAAAACACATCAGCCACACCATTACACGGGCTGACAGGTGACTTTATTACCATGGACATACAACAAATGCACTATTTCCTCCTGCTTGAGAAATGTTTACTGAAAACTACAGCTACCAAAACTATTTTAAGAAATTACTTTAATGAAACTAAATTAGGTTTTAAATGAAACTATATATTTGTGACTTGTTTTCAAAGATTTACATCTTCAGTAGGAACCAATGGGCTCGGGGCTGAGTGTCAGACAGAATAGAGGAGTTGTAAAGTACTGAGAGACGGACTATCACAATAAGGAACATATAGAATAATGTCAGATTAACACTGCATGATAATCACTTGTGTTTAGTTTGTCCTGCTATTATAAAGACGTTTTATCATTATATATTGGATGCAGGAATAGAAAAGGGTGCACTGTAGCTTTAGATTGAAGTGCTAAAAGCCACAAAATGACATAATAGGAGACCCTCTGAATTGTGTTCAGGCTCAACACTCTCCTTACAAACTTCCTTCACATTCATCTTTCTCATTTCCATCTAAGTCTATGCAACTCTTGACTTCCTTTCACAAAAATTTTGAACCCCCAAAAACAATCTGTTTAGCCCTCATCCTCTTTCTGCAGGTCTGTTATTGGACAGATTCACAAAGTCACATGACATTTGTCAGGCTTGAACTGCCTTTCAGAAGGCTGTCACACAATATGCGCCCTCTCCTTCCTTTACTGTCATGGCAAGGAGTCGCGGCGCTGAGACAGTGCCCTGACCATGCAGCTCCGCACTGTGAATTTTTATATGCCATTGCCTGGAGGTTAGAAACTCTCATTATGCCGTGTTAGATTTATTAAAATAGATTATGGAAATGTTAATTAAGTCATTAATTACATTATTTAAGCAGCATTGACAGATAAGGGAGTGTGTATGTGTATGTGTGTGTGTGTGTGCAAGGGGGGTGTCAAGCTGCCTGGGTGGTTTAAAAGGATGTGATTGGTGACAAGGGACACTGTGGAGATGGCGTCTAACCGCTAGCGCTGACATGATACAAAGTGGCCTACACTGCTCTCTCACCTCACGCTACTGTCTGCAGCAGTTTGCGGAGCTGCCTGAGGACGAGTAGCTCATCGCCCTTTTGCATATATAAGTCTACACAAGGGTACAAATGTGATTTTTTTTTTTTTTTTTTTTTTTTTGAAGGAACAACTACACAAACAGACGGGTCACAAATTAAAGGAAAAACCTGAAAAATGTGCGGAGAAACAGGATGACAATGCCCCTATGCATAGGGTACGAGGGGTCAGTGAGTGGTTTAATGGGTATGGAAATGATGTGAATCATATGCTGCGTCCCCTCACAGTCACCAGATCTCAACATAATGGAACGCTTATGGCAGATTTTTGGACCCACAATCATCTAAACACATAATGAGGGGAAGCAGACCTTCAGAGACTTGTCGAATCAATTCCAAGGAACAGTGAAGCTGTTCTCATGGCACGTGCTGCCCAACACCTGACTAAGACACTTGATGCTGGTTTTTCCTTTAATTTGTCAGCCGTCTGTAAGTTGGGAGAATTTGAGGAAAGAGAGAGAACGGTAAACACAGTTTGCATTCAGCTTTCCATTTTCCTTTTGTGTGAACATTTGAACAAAGTATTTGCTGTGACATTTGAGCAAAGGCCTCAAACCATATTTCCAGGCGGTTCCAAATGAAAACACAACGGCACAATTGTAAGATGAATTACCCACAAGTTGATACTATGGACTCTCTTATCTGTTGACAGTTTAGTTACCACAAAGCACAAGAAATGTGTTTTCCAATTCTCTGAGAATTGAGCTTTTCTCTTTCCCATCAAACCTATATTAAGGGAGGGAAAATTGCTCTGATCACACTTGATAAGAACAAATGATAGATGTTGTAAACAAGCAGAATGCTTCAATTCTGATCTGAGGCATTGATTTGCCTCAGTAGACAATTACTATGTGGACTGAGGTTACGCATCCAGTCAATCTGGAGGGAGAGGGATTTTTTGTTTGTTTGTTTGCTGTCCAGTGTATTACTTTGTTCCAAACAACGCTTCCCAAAAATGTCAAATTGTTGAATTACAATGTATTATTGAATGTTATAGATGGAAAAGCACATGTGGAAATAATGAGCATCAGCCTGGATTCCTCTGCTCCTCCCTCAGGTTGCCAGGCAGTACTGAAAGGTGTCTGTCTTGATATTAAGTGGCTGCTGATTGAAGAAAATGATACAGTGTGAGAACGTCCGACCACCTCAGAGTCAAGTTATCATGATTAACTCCTACATCAGTCATATGAACTTCATGATGAACTAACTCGAGATTGTTGGTGTGCACCAACATGAAGAATCCCATGATTGCAATTAGACATCTCCACAGACTAAATATGCACATTTTTATTTCCTATAGCAACTGAGCACATCGTCAGAGAAGCTGTAATGTACCTTCTGTAATTTCTCTATGTTTTTTTTTTTTTTTATATATATAGTTTTATGATATTGTTTAGTATTTGGTTGTGTTTGGGGTCGATAAAACTTTAAGAGCCTTTGAAACACAATGTATGCACATGCACATTCCCATTAGTTCTTAAACATCGCCCACGACATTATATTAGGTGGAAATTATTAGAGGTTCTTGTAACAGTAATGTACAGCAACAACCTTGTCTCCCATGAATACATTCCTATACAGCTAACGTGCAGTGAAAAATGTAATGGATTCCACTTTTAGCAATATAACATGAAAATATTTAAATAGAATCCATCTGCAACTTTCCAATACAGAGTGTCTTTCATTATAAATGTTTTTCATTTGTTTTCCGCTCCTACCAACTAAAGCATGGTTAGCAACTAAAATCTGCTCTTACTCAATGCTTTTATATCAACAATGGATGAAGTAAGTGTGTGTAATGTGAGAGATCGTATAGTCACAAAACAGAGAATTATCCCTGAACTCTGATGTTGCCTAATGGAGCTTTTTAGCGTTTTTCAGCTCATCGTTTTGGTTTTACTGCTCACAACTTTTATTTCTTTTTATCCCACCACTCTCATCAGTGTTGTTGAAAAGCTCTTAAAAAAAACAACAAAAACAAAACCCTCTGTACAGCACCTGTTCATCACAATGAAGCACACAGACAAAGTTAGAGAATATCTTGTGAACATAGTGGAGCATTTAGCAGCTAAAGAGCCAGATCCAGATACAAAATAGCGCTAAATTGACTTATATTCACCCGGTGGCCATAAAACATGACTCCAAACGATGCTAATGTTCGTCCAGCTACATTTTATTAATTAATGTTGTAGTTTAAAAATGTCACAGTAGTAGAATATGCCCATCAAATGTTCCTTCAGCCCAGTGTGACGCCCTTAAATAGCATGTGTTGTCCTTCCAATACAAATAAAAACATTAAAATTAGATATAAAACAGAGACAGGTATCTGATCCTCACATTTTAGCACCTTTCAGCTCATTGTTTTGATTTTATGTTTTCAGTGAAAAAGCTCTGCACACATTATTTCACACAGAGTGGAGCATGTAGCAGCTACAGAGCCAGATATATTTTCATGGTTGGTGGAGACCAAATGGAGTTAAAAGGACAGTGAATATTGGACTTACATTTGTTGGCAGACCAGAAACTTGACTGTCTTTTTCACCGTATCAGCTCAGTAGGTTTTTAATATGTTAGGGGTTGTGTTAAACCTTGCTGTGCTGTCCCCAAGCGTCCAAAAATGGTCAATTACTGCAGGTTCAGTAGGGGAAGATCATGCTCTTGGTTAAATATTTAAAAAGTCAATGCAGTTCTGAAGCACAAAATTGGATGATTTTACTTTTTTCCAGACAATAGACATGCTTGTGGTTTGTGCTTGTAGTTATGGGCAGATGGACTCTCTCTATGCAGATACCAGTGCAGGTTTATTTTTTATTTTTTTTAGACCCAACCATCAACGCTGACCGCCATCCAGGAAAGCCTCACCTCCTCAGATGGACAGGTTGCCAGTGAACTTAATCCAAGCACCAATGATTTTTCTTCTAAAAATGTATCTGGCAAAGCCAATAAGTAATATGTAAATGTTTTTGGTAGGAGACAGTGTTGAATATAACACATTATTTTATTCTGTTGTTGTAGGTCCACATGTAGATAGTGTTTTGAAGTCGACAGGAGACTCATTGAGACACATAAAAATATGTCCACGTCCTAAATATTCGGAGAGACTTACTAGACTTTACTAGCACATCATATCAGGAGGCTAAGCAGCGCTCCGAATCCAACAGGAGTTTCCCCACATACACTAAAGACTCAGTTAATGGGAGGAGAGGGATTTAATAATGAGATTAGGATTATGTTATTATACTAACAAAGTTATTTGGGATGAAGTGTGAATGCACCTAATTGGACTTGCATGACAGACATATGTGGGATGACGCAGTCAGACTCTGAGTCCCTGAGTCTGTTCTCCCCTAACGTTTGTTCTGTGCTGGTGTTTCCTCAGGTGTCTGTCGAGCTACCTCAGCAGACGTTACCGGCGGGCTGAGCAGAGCTCCTTCACCGTCCGGCCCAGGGGCTCTGAGGAGGACAGAACGAGCCCGGGCCGCTGGGAGCGGTCTGAGGCCACTTCAGCGGCGGCAGGTCATGCTTCATCAGCGGCCTCACCCACTCAAGTGGACGCGAGGAACGTGGATGTGTTGAAGAGTGGATTTCTCACCCTTTTCTAAACCACTAGCAGAGGGAGTTTACAGAAAAGAGGGCCAGAGAAAATCCTTTGGGTATTAGATGTGTCTAACAGCCGTTCAAGACATCACATCAGTTTATCAGTGTGGCATTTATGAGATCTTACACTTTAAAACCTGTTTTTGAGGTGTCAAATATTCTTGTTTTCTTCTCTGTCACACCCTTACACTTTATTCAGTGGATGTATTCTCACATATTGCAAATTGATGATAAGGAAGAGAATGCACGCAGCTTGCATGAGTGTGTTCAGGCTCAGAGAGAGAGAGAGAAAAAAAGCCTGAAATCACTCTCTATCCTTAATGATGCCCACACAGAGACAATGGGGCGCCGCTCTGATTAGTGTCACCTGTCCTTGTGCATCTCATCAGCTCCATTATGGCTCCATCTCCCATGCTTCTTCTGCTAATTGAATAGCCTGTGAAGTGGTGACGAGGACGGGGGCGAGAGCAACGTCTGTCCCACTGCTGCTTCAGAAATGAGAGTAAAGCTTCCCAGTGAGACATTAGTTCTTAAAACATAAACCATTATCATACAAATAGAAAAAGTGCCAACAAGTAGCCTTCGTGTTGCATTAGCATCATATCATCTATGGGTTATTTTCATATGTAGCAGCTTTCAGTTTGCATCTACTGTATGTATTCAGAGAGATGCGATGCCGCACTACACATTTCTTCAGTATATCAGACAGGACGTTCATGTTGGATGTGGCCACAAGACGCTTACTAACATTTTTCAGGTATATACTCTATAGTAGCTGCACATAAGAAGTATTGGAAATGATATAGCTAAGGGTTGGAAACTGGAACGTTTGGTTAAAGGATCTGTATTTTTCTGAGTGTCAACAAAATCCATGAGTAGATCAAAATCAACAGTGCGTTAGTCTGCCTTCAACATAACCAGACTGTGGCTCTCAGCCCTCTGGTACTGAGGATGTAAATCTTTAAAAACAATATCGTTTTTTTTTATTGTTCAAAGGCTCAGTAATTTCCCAGAACAGCTCATTTTTACTAAACACTACTCAAAATAGCATTAAACTGTTTTTTTTCTTGGGGGACTATTTTCAGCTGCGGATTAACACACATTTGGTTCACCAGTGAGTTTTTATATGCGGCAGCAGCACGATGATTGTGGGACTGAGTCAAACTACTGTGTGTATGTTAATGGTAATGTAGGAAGATAAAGGAACATGTCACCCAGTGGAACATGAATAAGATACATCAGGCACCGAGCTTGTTAGTAGGAGAACTTTATTTCTTGTTTTGGTCTTTTCATAGAATTTTTTGATCATATAAAAATTGCTCCTGTAAGTAATAATAACATTTTACTTACCAGGCTAATGGCAGAGATAACTCACTGGATTATAGAGACTATGTAGGGCTTCAGCCTGTTGTTGAAAAGTTTTTGTACTATATGTGAAAACAAATAAAGAGTGAGGCAGGCCTCAATCTGATGTTTACATTGAACCATTTTCAGGTCTCTCTGTATTTAGTCAAAATAAAATAGATATTTTTCATTTCTGCAAAGAAACCCCTGAAATAAAAAAGCAGTCTTTTATTTTGATTGGATAAACATTGCCAGCTGTGATGCAGGGCTATAGTGTTGGTGCCTCTCCTGCCAGGCAGCAGCTTTGCTGTTATCTGCATGTGCCTGAGGCACAGCTAATGTAAAAAGATCCTCCTCACTCTGCTCTGCTCTGCTAGCAGTGAGATCTGCAGGCTTATCCTGACCAGTCCCTCTCCGTTTCACCTCTCGGTCACAGCCAAGTGACTCTCAGCTGTGCACCACCTCAGCTTGGGCTTTCTATGGACAGAATAGAAGACGTACAGCAGTATCTCACTGCTGTATCTGGTAAATGCCACAATAACAGGCCTGCAGAGGCTTCCCAGTGTCCCCATGTCTGTATGGTTCCGGGGCTTAATGTGTGCGCGAGGGGCCAGATGGACACTTTCATGAGTGTATGAGTGTGGATTATTCTGCCGGCAACATCTGGGGCTCCACATGGTACAGCAGACTGCAGTAAGAGAGGCAGGTGGGCACGTGGGGGGGCGCCCCTCCAGTGGGTTCTCTTATATCTATACCCACCGACAGGACATCGCCACAAATGGCAAACCGAAAGGTTACAAGACCATCCTGCAAGACAAATGCTCCTCTGAATCCTGGCAAGCTCAACGTCTTCCTCTGTCCTTACCGTCCTGACAGCGACAGCCCACTGTTTCCAGGTGTACAATTTGGAAGAGAGCGTTCTTTACATTGCATCTATTTGAGAGATGCATTTTTCCCATATCTGCACATTTGGAACAATTTGGGGTGCCAAGGATGAGCCAAGAGGAGCCAAGGATTGGACTGCCACTCCTATGATTAATAGCCTACCTACTCTACCACCTGAGCTACAGCTGCCCATGATATGAGCATGTCACCACCATCAGCATATTATCACATTATGCTCTGATTGATTGTTGTCGGTGTTCATCACTGGGTCAGGCAAGCAGATCATATGACAACGTAGCACGAAGACAACAGAACGTAAAACTGTGCGGCATTAGTGGCTGAAACAATTAGTCAATTAAGTATTTAAGCAACAGAAAATTAATCAAAGCAATGACAACAACAAGAGGTATATACAATTACTCTATCGCAAGTAAATTGTGCATTGAAAATGTTAGCACAGTGCACTTAAAGTGATAGTTCGGGTTGTTTGGCGTGGGGTTGTGTGGTACTTATCAACAGTCAGTGTATTACCTGCAGTATAGACTCAGATCAGCGTGCTCCCAGTTTAGAGTAGCAGCAGCAGCAGCACTGGAACAGAAGCAGAGCGATGCACTGCTGTGAAGGGGCCATCCACAAAAATGTGTTTTAGCCACTTTAAAAAAGAAAAAAAAAAAAATGCCCACAGAAAAAAAAAGCTAATCTCAGTTGAAGTGCACGCTTTATTTTGAATATTTCCACCACTCCATCTTGCCGTCAAAAAGCCCTTTTCTTTGGAACTACAGCTTGTGAACTATTGAACTGCTGTATTACTTCGCACAAGCGCATTTGCGACACGCTTTGTATCACTCCGCAGATCATCTGTTTGAGTCAGACAGAGCTAAACGTAGTTGCACTTCAGTGCTGCATTTGACTTTTATACCATTATATTGGCCTATCATAATTATTAATGTGAACACAGAACTTTGCTGTTGTAGTTTGTCGAGTTGGACCTGGTTTAAATAGTTGATAAACTGTTGGACAGTGGAATCTAGAGCAGTGCGTCGTTTTTCTTTTTTTTTTTTTTTTTACATGTAGAATGTTACACTGAAGAATAATACTAACTAAAGATGTCATATAAATATCGTGGAGCAAAAAGTACCATTTCCCTCCGCACTGTTGTGTAGCAGGGATATAAAGTTAGCAAAATTGAGTAGTTAATCGATACTTAAGTACAGCACTACATGTCCCATATTGTATAAATCCATGTGTTGTTTGATTATAAAGCAGGTCCAGGTTCTGTATTAATACTGTGAAAGTATCAAAGCCTCAGTCCACAGAGAAATGAACACAGCCTGTGTTCAAAAACTGAGCCTTTAAAAAAAAAAAAAAAAAGTTGTCAGGACTTCCTGTAACTACAGCCACAAAGATGTACCTACAAATTGCTAATTATATATGTAAGACTGATGTAACACTACACAGTGTATAGTGTCAAATTGATTCCGTTTCAAAAATGGAAAAACTCAACCCAAACTTAATAATTCCCCACACTCACACTAGATTGAAGTCAAGCCAAGGCCTTTGTGAAATCAGAGCTCATTAGACGAGTCCACCTCATAATGAGCGGCCATGAGAGATAAATCTCCCACTCTGCGCTGACTGAGATCCAGTTTAACGCACCCGCAGTGCCTCAGACCACATGTGAACAAGATATTTGCTTTGAAGCACCAACACACAGATCTGAATCAGCGTGTCAGAGTGCCAAATGTCCTAGGTTGTGAGTGACAGGAGATCCGCTTTAGAGTTGGCTACCTGTTGAGGAGGATTAAACAAAATACAGATGGTGTTTACATATTAAACAAACAAAGGCGGTCTCTGTTGTGATGGTGGGCAAAAATGCTTTCATCAAGTGAGGACTTAGTTTAAAGTACAAAAAAAAAACCACGTTGATTAGCTGTAATACATCAATTCTATAGTTTTTCACAAACCATCAAAGTTGGGCTGGGGACTTTTCTTTCCTCCATGTGTTCCCACATTCGTTCTTGCATGAAAGCAGCAGATAGAAAGTCCCCGGCTGCAGATAGCAAGTCGTAAATGATGGTTTTTCTGGCCTGCGATAGCATCACATATGACCCTGAGATCACCTCTGAAGGACGAAGGCTGTTGTGTGTCCGGCCATGTATTCTGGCCGTCAACACAACACGAGCGCGGCGCGGTCTGATCCATCCGCGGGTCGAGTTGAATAAATTAAACGAATTACCAGCTGCCTTGTGCAAGCTCGCAGGATGCAGGGTGGCATGAGCACGCCATTACAACAATGATAAGGATATCTGCATGGCCTTGTGTTAAAGGAATTACACATAGCATCCAGAGCCTTTAAGGGAGTCTGACAGTTCTGCGCACACTGGCAAGTTAGTATGACATGAAAATGTGTGCGGCTGCAGAATGGCTCGGCTGCTGCTTGGCCTGAGTCGGGGGCATTGCTCGGTTGGCTTGCTGAGAAGTAAAAAAAAAAAAAATCTTATTGTGATGCAAATGGACACAGTATTGTGCTTAAACAATGCATTAATACGTCTCTTTTGAGAAGATAACATCACAAGATGCACAATAACACAAAATGATGTCCTCCGAGGTTATTTGAAGCGATATGACATCAAATCCTGACATTGCAAGAAGTGCTTACTGCCTGTCCAACTGCTTTTGTCTCCAGCTTTGATAAAAGCAGATGAAGGATAGAAGGCTGCTTTTGAATTCCTGCTACTATATGGCAAAAAGTCCAATTTACATAATTTTATGTATATTGTATTCCACTCCCATTCTAATGTGTGAATGTAAACTGAATTTAAGTCTTTATGCGCGCACACAGGAAGAAGTGTTGTAGCTTAAACACAAGACACGTGGCAAGGTGTCCGATAACTTTGTCTTCTACCTGTAATCTGATGCTGCACGGAGAGGAGGGATTGGCCTCACTTCCCCGAGGTGATTTATGATTGAGGACATGCTAATAAAAATATCAAAACAATCTGAGCTCTGGTGGGGAAGATACCGGTCCACTACGTACATCATGCTCGACAGGCCTGTGCGGGGATTCGCCTGCTCGGTGATATTATGCTCGTATGGATGCCCCGTTGCCCTGCTCTTGAATAGAATATGCAGCTGTTGTTTGTTTTTTTTGTTTTTTTTGGAGGGTCAGTGGAGGTAGCACTACTCACGCAAGGTGACATTTACGTGAACATGTGCTCCTCCTAGCTTGATAGCTGAACCATCTTGAAACCGTCGTCCAAAAGTAAGAGTGGTTTTTCCGTCTTTAAAATCCAACGGCAAAGCTCGTATGAGTTATATGTAATTATTTGGAGCTACGTGGGTCACCTGCCCTTTAAAAAAGAGCGCAGTGGGCTATGCTATTACACCCAGTGGCACAGGATTGAGCAACATGCAGCTTCAGAATCTGCTCTTACTAAAGGATGCATATCCAAACTCACTAGAGAGACACATTTCAAATAGTTCATTAAATGCCTAGAATGACTGGATGAAAAGATATAGCACTGTGTTAACTTCTCGCACATGCCCCCCCCCCCATACACATACACACACACACACACTCTTGCCTTTGATGGATTTATATCGAGCATGGGCGTGGATGCAGAGTAATTTAGTATGTGTTAAAAGCTCCTGCAGGGATGTAGCCTGTAATACTCACTCAATTCCACTTCCAATATCACTGTTCCTGAAATCTCAATGATTTTCTGTCTCTGTGTCTTTCCCGAGCACAAAATCATCACAAAGTACACTGTCAAAAAGAAAATGTTCTGAAACATGGAATCCACTCCAAACATCCACTTATGCTGTTGCCAGAGAGCACACAGAGTACTGATGTTGTCAAAGTGGTACACTGATGCATTATTAACTCTCAGGTTATTCTGTGTGAAAAACTCCTTTACATTTTCTGAAAGCTTCTACAAGTGAATCAAACAAAATGCTGCAACAATTTGCTTCTTGTCAGATGCTTTTAATACGGCAGATTGTTCGTTACAGTGACCTCGACATGCAGCTCCTGTATGTATGAAAGGGAAACATATATGTTGTGTTCTTCGCTGTCTTACACAAACAACTCTGGTGCTTGGAAACAGCCATTTATAATTCTTATCTTTCTAAGTGGAGACATTCATCCGTCTTAAAGGTCCATGTAGTGTTAAGTGTTACCTTGTAATCATGCAATCATTTTTTTTCCCTTATGGGCAATCAGGAAGTGGATGTCAGAAGAGGATCGTCAAACAGG